TTTCGGGTTTTGAGTTTGGGCTTTAGGGCTTGTGGCTTTGCTTGAAAGGGTTTGGGCAGGGTCTGGATGAGGGTTATGCAGTGTTGTGGTGGTGGGCTCGCATGGCCAAAGCTGGGAACAGCGCTCTACAGTCGCTGAAGGGATTTCTGCGTCTCTGTCAGACCAAAAACAACGAAATCCTGTCGCCACCTTGTTGAACTACAGGTACCAACCACTTGGTGACATCCTTGACCTGCAGCCGACATTTGCAAGCCTAAACGTTGAGCTTGGCATTCTTGTTCCAGCATGCATCGTGAACCCTACTTGTAGGATCTTTCACAAATCACTGCAGTACTGGCAATGCTACCCCTGCACACAAAGCTCTATGCAAATCATGTCCCCCATGCTTGGATTCAAAGCAACGCCCTCCTGTCGATGAGGGCTTTTTGCATGATCCAGCATAAGTCCACAAGGAGTGAGCCATACAATCGACAGTGACGGGTATTTAAGGTCATGTACCCTTAGCCTTTCAAGCGCTTAAATGCCACCAAACACTAAACCCCGCATGCTTAGGCACAAAGCCCTCAAACCCATTAAACCCTAATCACGGATCCCTACACCTAACCCCAATCTTCAACGCACAATCCTAAACCTCAAACCTAAACCCTGCTTCCTCAGATTTGCCGCACTTAGCCAACCACCGGGAGGATCTAGAAGGTACAGCCCCTAGTTTGGGATCCTAATACTACTAAAGGGTACCCTAAACATGAAACCCCCTTAAGGGATCCACTTTTCGGATCCTTTCCTTTCATCAAGGCCGGTCCTCGAGGACGACCTGACCTTAGACGACTACGGCTCCGACGACGAGGCCCGGAGATTTACACGGGTTTAGGGTGTAGGGAGCTATGGGTAGTTCTCTTCATCAGGCTCCCTGTTTAGGAACCCGAAATCTCGTGAACATTCCATACAGAGAGGTTGCAGGAAGAATGTTCAGTTACATTAGGGTATAGAGCAGATAGCTACGTACAGATAAATGCAGACACAGGGGCATCTAGAATCTAGATGTAGGTACGGATCGCGGTCTGAATTTAGGTTAGATTTAGGTTCTTTGTTATTATGTTGGGGTATAGATAGACATCCAGTTACAGGAAAAGATTTTGACATGGATATGCGTTCTAGATACAGAAAGCATTGTGTAGAGATGGAATGGATTAGGGCTTGTGGGTTATAGGCTTTAGACCAAAACTGATAGATAGCTAAAGAGGTTGCTCAATGGTTAGTGGGTCCTTTTCAAGAGTTTTCGACAATAAGGGTCAGGCCATTTAGGGTCTATAGGGGTTCTTGTCTGGTATGGCAAGCCTGTCACGAAGTCGTTGTTCACATACATAGGAGGTCCCATGCTCCTAAACTAAAAGAACCTGTAACCCAAAGCCCCACCAAGAGTAATATAGGGGCCTTAATAATTAGAATAGGGTTTGGGGTATACTATATTATAATTATAATAAGGAACCCCCCAATCCCTTTTTCTAACTATGAAGGCCCCTACAGTAGGCTGCCCGGGAGGCGCGCGAATGGCAGGCGGCCGTAGCCTCGCAGTTTACGCCTCTGCGAGGGCCTCTGGAAGCAGCCTTCCTGTTTTCGTCGAAGAAATAGGGCCTTCCTTAAACAGGTTTCGAGGGGGTTTATAGGGTTTGACCATTGGCTTTTTTTTGGTTTAAGTTGAAAGTCGGTTATGCGGCGTATAATAGCCGTCTACAAGGTCAGGTTGGTGGAATGCGAACCTAAACCCGAACCTAAGAATGGAATGCTGAAATCCTAATCCCAAGTCGGGCCTATGGATGAAACGCTAAACCGCACGTTGTATTATTCCACTTCTTCTCTTCTTTATTGTACTCGTTTCTACCCGAAAACCTATGTAAATCATTCAGGGCCCGATCATCGAACATGAAGAGTCCTTTCAGAAACCTCGATAAAGCCCCTAAAGCAGCCTAGAAGACCCGTCAAAAACTCGATTCGACGTAGCAGCCCGAGGCCACCGAACTCCGCAGTGAGCCGGCGACGGATGGAGGCCCGGGCGCAGCAGTGCGCCGGGGACCTCGGCAGGAATATGCTGCGGGCAGATCAGGGGCTTTGGGATCTCAAGGTTTTAGGGTTTAGGGTTTAGTAATGGGTCCCCGGGTTCCTACACAGTTTCTTTAGGGTTCCTATATGGTTTGACGGGTACTGTAAGGGGTCTTGATCCATCAAATGTGAAGTTTGGAAGGTTTTGTGGTGTTGTGGCACTACCGAACACTGCAGCCGCCTACTCGTGTTGTGTGCTTGCACGGAACCACTGCTTCCAATGGCTTTCGGAGCCGCGGACTTTGTTTTGTTTGGGGTTTCAGGCTGGAAGGCTGCAGGCTGCAGTTGAAGAATGTCGACGGAATATGGGGAGTTCCGAAGATAGGTGACCCTAATATAGCACCCTAAATAATAGGGCCTCTGTTATAAGGACCCCCACATAAGGTACTCTAGTTTTCTGAAACTCCCATATGGGAGCTTGAACCATGAGGAGTGTTTGGTTCCCGGGTTTCTTCATTCCCTTGGCATACGGCATAAACCCGCTACCACCCCAGCAAAAAAGTACCATTAAGTTTCGGATTTCCTTTGGGTTTCGGTTCATGGTTTCAGCACTTCTTAACCCTAAGCCCTAAACCCTAAACCCTAAACCCTACACCCTAAACCTTAAAGGATGGACTGCATACTACCGAGGTCGTGTGTTTCATGGAGAAGGCCCACACCCTGGTGCCCCCGCACGCGAACACCGCGCCCCAGCAGCTTGGAAGCATTCTCTGTGCCCTGCCCAAAAGGATGGGATAAAGGGTTTAGGGTTTAGGGTTTAGGGATAATTGGGATAATTGGGATAATTATACCGAAAACTAAACCCTAAACCCCACCAGTGTAAGCTCAGACCGAACATGCCATGCCTGCCTTGCGCCAGTCTGTGAGTCGAAACCACACCAGAGCCCAGAAAGCTCCAAATTCCTGATGCGAAATCGCCCCAACCAAAGGGCACTCTTAGGAGAGTATAGCGATATAGGAATCCGCGATGTAGAACCGCTTCAAAGGTTTATGGAGGTTCGGCTGCTAGGTTTGGGGATTTAGGCTTTGGAGCCCCCCGCCCCCCCACAGTCAGACAGAGAAACACGGGCGGGTGTTTGATAAGCCTCGAACTCCCTCTGCACCCGACTCCCTGCTTCACCCCGAAACCAAAGCTAAAAGATAAACCGTAAACCCTGAGCCAGAAACCATAAGCCGCCCTAAACCAGAAAACCCAAACCCCCTCTGAACAAAAAGTCGAAACCCGGCCCTAGACAAGACATCCTAAGCACTTCAAAATTCCAAAATCCAGCCCTCTGTGCTCTCAGCAGCAACAGACCCCCTTCGACACAAACTCACTCCCTGAACTCCCCCGGTTCGCTTCTTGAAAGCAGAGCCCCGCAGGACCTCCAGCCATCGATTTTGCCAGGGTCCAAGCTTCGTCTTCGCTGATCGGGTTTCGGGTTTGCGGCTTAGGGGTCAGGGTTTCAGGGTTTAGAGATTTTGGGTTTTGGTCTGCAACCCTAAAACCCGAAACCCTATTTTGGATCTTTCCCTTAGAAGGCAAAGAGGGTATTCGGGGCTCGTCGCCTGCTCCGAGCCCAAAAAGGGAGCTAGAAGATAGCTGGAATTAGTCGGGATTTGTGTGGTGTTATGGGGCTCTTGTGGACTGTCGGCTCTTGGGGCTTGGGGTTGCATGTATGTTCTGGAGTGGCAGGGAGCGGTGCATACGTGATTCTTTGGCATGCATCTCTTCCCGAAGTCAGCTCAAGCCTGGATGACCAAAGAGATTTATAGGGCTTCATAAGGTTGGCGGCCTGAAATGAGGTCCCCAATTCTGGCAACTTGAAGGGAGATGAGTCGGGTAGCTGCAGATAGCGGGTCAGAAGAAACCCCTTCATTGAGCTTTCACCAGTGATAACCGCTTTCCTGGTTACCTTACCGGAAGAATCCACGCTCCGCACCCATCAGCAATCGGCTGAAGCTGACATCGTGAACCCACTCCTGCTGAAAGCACTGGGGGCAATCCATCCCTGGAGCCTCTCAACCCGAGGTCCAAAGCTCTAAACCCAAAACCCTGAATCCTAAGCTTTGAACCCTAAATCCCGAAGTTCTAAGCCCTAAGCCCTAAACCCTAAGTTGGGGGGATATGTTGTGATGTGACTCACTTTGTGTCACTGCAAGTCAGACCTCGAACCACATGCCTCGCCTGGAGTGTCCGAGTGTGAGCTTCGAAACCTTAAGTTCTAAGCCTTAAGCCCTAAACCGGTTTAGGGTTGAGAGTGTATATAGTGTATGATACTGTGGTTTATGGTTTAGGATTGGGGAGGGCTTTGAACGTGCCATGACGTCCTTGGCCTTCGTGGCCAATTTCAGGCACCGACTGCTGGGCAGAGTATTTGCTGCACTGTCTGAAGATGGGCCGCACCCTCCTGTTTGAACACTTCTTAGCAGGTGCAGGTTCAGGGTTCCCTAACCCTAAACCCTAAACCCTAAACCCTCCTGTTTGAACCCTTCTTTGCAGGTGCAGGTTTAGGGTGAAGGATTTCGGAAGTTTGGGCCTCGTAGACCCAGAGTTAGTCAACCGAATCTCGAACCTGTAGCTGTCTGAGCTGAGCATCGGCATCGGCACCCCTCAAGTTCTGGTGGACTGGCTCAGGCCTGCGGCTCTAGCTGCTCTGCGTTCTCGTTCGGTTTTTTAGGGGCCAGGGCTTCGAACATGATGTCCTAAACCCTAAAGAACCTTAAACCCTAAGCCAAAGAACCTTAAGCCCGCAAAGAACCTTAAAGCCTAAACCAACGAGCCTTAAACCCTAAACCAAAGAACCTTAAACCCTAAACCCTAAACCCTTCTCCGTCCCTAAACTCTGAACCGAAATCTTCCCCGTCTCAGGGCCGGAAACAGGGCCCCCCTCAAGCTCTGAATGACGCAATTATTCCAGGCTTGGCACCAGGATGTCCGGTCTGTGTGAAACTAAGAATGGGGAATCGGCGGGGGCGATGCTGCTTGTTGGGAGTTTGGGCTATGCCGGTTGCTGGTGTCATGTCTTCGGATTCGAGTCATCGTTGTTGCCAAATATCCTTCGTTATGCTTCGGCCTACAGGTTTCGGGTTTAGAGTGCGGTTGCTGTCTGTGGTTTGGGGTGGTGTGGGTCGAACTTCCCTTATAAGAGTCATAAGTTAACAGCGACAGGCACCAAAACCCTGTTCCAATTTCTATGGCCGTGGTCTGCACGGTCTAGGGCTCGGGTCTACTAACCCTAAACCCGAAACCCTAAACCCTAAACCCTAAACTCTACTAACCCTAAACACGAAACCATGGTTTCGGGGGCGGTGGGGGGTAGGGGTGAAGTACCGTAGGCCCGAGCCTTCTTCGCGGGAAGCGGTGCTTGGTACTTGGTTTTGTCTGCATGCTTTGGGTTGAGGGTTTTGGGTTTAGGGTTTAGGGTTTAGGGTTTAGGGTAGGGTTTTGGGTCCGCCTCTGGCGCTTGTGCCGGCATTGGGTTTAAGCTTTGGGTCTCGGGTCTCGGGTTTCGTGTTTCGGTTCCAGATGGTTTAAGGGTTTTCACGGTAGGAAGAATGTGGAGCCACATCAACCAAACGAGTTGAACTTCACCCCCCATTACGAAGTTCACGTTCAGGCTTAGCTGGGCTCTTATGAGACCAGCGCTCCTTCAAAATGTTCCACAGCCGAACGGGTATGAGTTTTCGTCCTCCACCTGTCGATCTGCTCCTAGCCGCCACCCCAAACCCGAAATGCTCCCAACAAGGCAGGACTACAGAGTGCAAATAATCAACCGCCCCGGGTCCAAAACCGGACCCTGCTTGAAGGATTATGGGGCAAGTATTTCATTGGGGTTATCCGGTTATCCTACTCGTATATCCTCTAGCTACAACCTCAGCCCACGTCAGGGACGCCACAGGAAGGACCCTTGCAAGGTAGGGAAGGAGGAACACAAAGCCCTTCACCTCACATCCTGAACCCTAAAACCCTCATGAGCCGCTAAACTGAGGACAGTCAATGCCCAACCTTCAACCCCAAACTCCCAATTCAGGGAGCTTGAGGCCCCAGCTCGAAATTCTCTGAACTTTGCCGAGAATGCCCTGCCCAGATCCGGACCTGTCAATGCAGGATGCCAGGGGAACCCCAAACCTCAAAAGAAAGACGCTGAAAGCATTCGGCCAGAGGCCACGTAATCGATCGTAGACCATCATCTCGACAAGCAACGCAGAGCTCACAACAAGGAACCCAAGATACCGTTTCAACAGTATTGTTGTATACATCCTTCATACAGAGTGAGGGCTCGCCTTTCCCACATTTAGAGCTCTTGTGTTCTATTGCTGCTCGGGCATATGACTGAGGTCGTGGTCCCATTGACGTCCCTGTCGAGCTCTCGGAAGTTCAAGCGCAAGACTATGGGTTTAATAAAATCCTTGTTAATTACCAATGTTTTGGTTCCCCAAGAGTTCCCAAACCCTTAAACCTGAACCCTAAGCCCTAAAGCGCTAAACCTATGGATCCGTCCAGACTGGGAAGTCTTCTTGCATGCGTGACTTTGAAAACCTTGGGTTTAGGGTTCAGGATTTACCTTCTCGCAAGGAACATGCCCTCCAGACTTCAAGTCCTCAAGGACGAACCTAAACCCTAAACCAGCACCCCAAACTGGCGCCAAGGATGCTTGGTATGTGGCTTTGGACCTTCCTGATCACTGGTGTCGTCAGGGTCTCGTGGAAGGCGCCTTTGATTTCTTTTTTGTCTGCATGGCCGTCTGTCAGCATGATTACCTGGCTCTCGCGCCGTTGACCTCGTCTGGACATGTTCCGAGTGTGAGAGCTCAAGCCTCTGGAGCTTGCAAGCTGAGTTTGCAATTCATCCGTTAGTTGGTTCGTGGTCCTGCCCCTGCGACGCCAACTGCTCAAACTCATTAGTTTGGGGGCGGATAGTTTTCGTGACAGGTGGCAGCTACAGAGCCTGGACATTGGAACCGGATTGTGCGAGTGTGAGAGAACCCAGTCTGCTGCCAAGCCATTCTAGATTCTATAGTGTACATCGTAGTCGGAGATTCTGAGATGGTGGCTGGTCCCGCAAATGGCCGCACTGCATGGGATCTTCCACTGCCTGTCCTATGCTGTGGCAGGAGGGAGGCTACAGTCAATGAAGAGAATGGTGGCGACGCCGACAACATCCTCGCAACAAAGCAGGAAGGCTTCTCGATTGCCCTGGTCGTGCTTCGCATGCTTTCGACCGCTGTGCCTTTCGTCATGGTCGTCGCCATAACTGCCCTGGTCCATGGTGCCACGGCCCTTGCCGAAGCGCATCGGATCACCTCCATCATCTCGGTCTTCTGTACCATGGTGCCAGGTTGCGCAGCCGTATACCTATGCGCGAGGGCCTCCACAAGTCACACTTGGTCCACGGCTGGCTTCTTCTTCTGCACCTGGGCTGTCGGACTCGGCACTGTAGTGGACGTTTCCTTCAACTCCAACTCAGTCGCCATGAATACAGCCGTGTCGGTCGTCTGCAATGCCCTTTACCTCGTTCAGCAGACTTGGCTTGTCTCCCTTTCAGCTCATCGACTACACTCGCTACAGAGATCTGCGGGGCACCAGTTCTTCCCAAACGTGATGGCGAGGGCGTATTGCGTTGGCGCGGGGTATGTCCTTTTCGCGATTGCTGTGACCACTGCGAACGGCCTGAAGGGCTTGTGGATGCCGCCGGCGACTAGTGTAAGTGTTTTTGCTCCACATGTGCCGGCATTTTGCCTGCGGCACTTTGCCCTTGGTGTGGAAATCTTCCTTATTGGCATGGTGTTGTACCCTGTGTTTCTTGTCTGTCTTTGTTACTCGTTGGCTGGGCTGCTTGTCGTGATCGGCCTTGTCGCGATCGCATTTTGCCTCCGCGTCCTGCTTGCCTATTGTCGGATCCTGGGACACTTAACTGCGGCAAGACGAGTGGCTGAGAGGTCAAACTGCAGACGGAAGGTCAGTGGCCTCAGGGCTTTGCAGAGGGGCGAGCGCGCACTTCGCAAGGAAATCTTTGGCTTCGCTCTGTGCTTCTTGACCAACCTCATTTTGCAACCGCTGGGGTACATGTTCCAGACAGAACCCCTGGCTGTTCTTCGCATTGAATGTGGGATGATCCTGGGCTACACAATGGGTGTTTGGTTCCTGTCCAACTCTTATCGTCTCTCCAAGCGCGCTGGCCCCAATCTATTGCTTCGTCGCTGTGCGATGCGCAAATCTCCTCCACGACAGCGTCGGGCAACGGATGCAGCCTGGCAGGCAAAGGTCGCAGAGTTGTCGACGCGTGGCATCACAGCAAGGGAGTTGCTGGAGTTCTACAAGCAGCTGGGCAGTCGCACCATGCCACACTACAGTGCAGGTATGCACACCACCGGCGATGTGGTGCGACAAGCCATCATCCCGATTACCAGGTCCGGGTGTTGCTCCTATGCCGAGGTGACAGGCAGAGAGCCCTTGAGACCGGCCAAAATGGTCACACACTCCTGGCGGAACCTCTTCCGAGACCTAGTGGCTGCGGTCATCGCAGATGCTGTGCGGGAGACGAGTTTCGAACTCATATCGCAGCTGTTGGAACATGAGGTGTCGGTGCTGGAGACTTTGCTGGAGCAGCAAGGAAAAGGCGACCAAGTCTACTGGATTTGTGCTTTTTCTGTGAACCAACACTTGAGCATCTGCGAAAACCTCTTTCGTGATAAGGACTCCGTCACAGGTCATCTGCACGCAGGCTGCGACTGTGGATTGCCCAAAATCCTGAACACCACGCCACCACTTTCCACTGAGGGCCAAAGCATCAGTTGTGAGATGAACAAGTTTGATGATATGATGGCACTACTTGCGGAGGAGGTCCCCGAGTTCTCTCAGGTGGTGGCTGTTGACTCTCAATTTCGCCTGTTTAGCAGGGCTTGGTGTGTTGCAGAACTTGTAGAAGCCCACGAGTCAAGCTTGAAGCAGTTCGTCAAGATGCATTCCAGGCACGTTCTGGAGAAGTCGCAAAGCGAGTTGCAAGAGCTTCAAGTGGAGGACATGCAGGCGTCGCGTGCGGAAGACGTGCAGCTCATCTTGGACAAGATCTCAGACAAGAGCGAGTTCAATCAGAAACTGCAGTCGCTCATCTTTGACGAAGCAGGCCTTCTGTCTGGCTGGTGTCAGTTGGACACAGCCGGACGCATGGAAGAAGTCGGAACCTTACTAAAGTGGAGTCTGGCAGACGATGGAAAAGATGTCGTTTGGCAGTATTGGCCAGAAGTGGAGTCTTGAAAATAAGGTGCTTGGCATTTAGGGCGTGGGGCCTGAGCTGCTGGTGTTTCTTGTCTTCGCTTCGCAAACCCCGGGACATGCAAGCCGAAGGCGCGAACCCAGATTTAACAAACACCCAAGCGAGCATGCATGAGTGAATTTGCAGATCTTTTGTGAGGAACTCCCGCATGCCAGCCGGACGCAGGGTTGTACAGCTGCTCAGTGTTCACGGCATCCTCCTTTTACTTGAAGAGGCTTCTCTCAACATGTATAGTTTTCTTTGCATAGTGTGTGTGTAAGCACGCCTACAATACTGCATGTCTTCGACAACTTCGGCTGCATTGCCAGCTTCTGCAACGGAGCTCCGAATCCAGTTCTGCGGCAGTTGCCTTCATTTGAAGAGACGCTCGTGTACAGACCCTTGCAGTCGCGGCCGGTCAGCAAGCGCAACCCTATGCCTCGAACTCGATTTGGATATCTTATCCGGCTTATCCGGCATGGATACGGATACCTGAGGTCGCAGGATTGCATCCCCCATCTCTTTCGCAGGAAAGAAGCTTGCAATTCCCCAAGCCTTCTGCTTGATGCTGTCCCCTAGGCCCTAAACCCTAAACCCTAAACCTGAAATCCCGAAGCCCAAAGATGTAGCCAGGCCAGGGCAAGGCCGACTCTTCTACGGTTGGCCTCTCGTGGCCGGAACCTCGGAGTAGAGGGTTTAGGGGTTTTGGGTTTAGGGTTTAGGGTACTGGGT